GCATATTCCTCCATGATGTATGCTGCCTCAGTGCTCACGAATCAGGGTTTGTTTGAGAGACCTTACAACTTCAAGATAAAAACAATAGAGGATGTAAGTCTGTCACAGTCCACATGGTGGGGGTCCCTGATAGATTGATTCCCCTGGGTATGACTCTTTATTGGACCCCTGTTTTCCTTTTACAAAAACATTTCTTTTTTATTAGAAAGGCAGATTTACAGACAGAACAAAGATCCTCCATGTACTAGCTTACCCCCAAGTGGCCTCAATGCCCAGAGCTGATCGGGAGACTCCCCCAGATCTCCCATAGACCTTGCGCCATCCATCCTTCACTGCCCTTCCAAGCCACAGGTAGAGAGCTATATTGACAGTGGAACAGCTGGACACGACCAGTGCCCATATGGGACCCTAGTGCATTGTAACCAGGGTTTAGCCACTAAGCCATTCACCAGGTTGGTTCTCCTTTTAGTAGCTGTAGTTGGCACCTACTCATTCAGTGCCATTGCCTGCTTTGTCAACTGACAGATGTCCCAAGATCAATTTCCAGTGACTTTTATATTTAGTACTGGCTCCAATAAGACAAACTTTAGGGCTGTCACAATGGCTCAATGGCTCAATCTTTGCTTTGTAAATGCCAGGATCCCATATGGGCACCAGTTGCTGTCCCAGGAGCTCCACTTTCCATCCAGCTCCCTATTGTGCATTGGGAAAGGAGTCAGTGAAGACCCAATGTATTGAAACCCTGCATCCACATGGGAGACTAGGAATAATCTCCTGGATCCTGGTTTCAGATCAGCTCAGTTCTGGCCTTTGTGACCAATTGTGGAGTGAGCCAGCCAAGGGAAGCTCTTTGTCTCTCCTTCTCTCTATAATTCTGCTTTCCCCTATTCCTATATATATTTATCACTTAAAAATACAAACTAAACAATTTGAAAGAGGCCCAGAGAAATGAGAGGAAATGTTACATGCCCCAAATCTCAAAAGATGTCCTCTTAGCTGGGGTGACCAGCTTAGTCTGGAAAGGCCCTGCCTGGCTTCAGGGACCACAGCTCCTCTGCCACCAGCTACTTGTCATTATACATCTGTGCCTCCTGAAACAGCCTTGCAAGATTGACTTACAGATTTGAGGTATGAAAATACAAACAGACCAAGAGTTGGTGCTTGTCTCTTGGCATGCACATCTTGTCAAGTCCACAGGCATGAATAAATGTGCCTTTCCACAGTCTCAAATGCGGCTTGGTTCCTTCGGTTTCCTGGCTGTAACAGAGTCACTGTTCATGAGAGACTGTATCATGATGGGATGGTATAGGTTAGTGTTGGGTTAGTGTTTAGTATAGGTTAGTGTTTAGGTATTTCAACTTAGACTTATTTGATATGTGTCTTTCATCATTTTATTGAATCACCCTGATCCTGTTTTTTTTTTCATTTAAAGAAATATTTGGTTATTGTGGATATTCGGTAGATGACACTTAGTGTACATAATGCAAGTGGTACATTTTCACATTTTTTAAGTGATATCTGTGCTGGTTACTGTCTGTCATAACTTAGGGGTGGAATTGCTAAAGTGTAGTGGAAAGTTGCGTTGGCCTCAGGTTCCAACGAGGGGCACTGGAGGCTGGCAGAGCTGTAGGACAGTGAGAGAATCATTTCTGGAAAGGAAGAAGCCATATAACAGAGAGGCCCCAGGGCTATGAAGAAATTCCAAGTCTGTGATGTGTCACTGTTACCAGAGAGAGAGAAAGGTCACACAGAGAAAATGAGAAAAGACAAGTGTCTGAATTGTCTATGGAAGAACAGTGCAGCCTCCAAGGGCATAAAACAAAACCAGACTAGGTAGGGAAGAAGAAAAATCCACAATAATGGCTAGAGAGCTTTCCTGGGGAGTGCTAAAACAACCCTCACCCAGCAATAGGGGAAACAAATTCAAGTGAAGATTTGTGAGCTTCCTGTGGCTGCACTGAGTGCCACCCACTTGATGACTTGAGTCAGCTCAGAATTGTACAGTTCCAGAGGCCAGAAGTCCTCAGTGAAACTCACTAGGATGGAAAGAAAATTGTGGGCTGGGCAGTGCTCCCTCCGGGGTATAGTCCAGTCCGTGGTTCTCCGCACCTGTGCAGCTGCTGCCATGGCTTCCTTTGTCTCAGTGCCCGTACGTGAGCACCTTGATTCAGCTCTCATTTCACCGCCCTCTCTATAGACGAATCTGTCTCCCTCTTCCCAAAACACCAGGATTACACTCAGGGCCTGCACAGATGGTCCATGAGAAACTCATTTCAAGATCTTTAGCTTAACCTCATGCCAAAAACTGTTATGCCTTGTGAATATGTAGATATTCACAACTTGTAACAATAATCCCTGGCTGCCTTGGCGTCGTTCAGCCTGTATAGTTCCCCTCACCCTTCCAGCCTTCACATCCACTACACTCACAAAATGTATCCCTTCTTTACATCTCCAAAAGTGTCCAGCCTTTGTAGCATCAACTTAGGTCTGAAGTTTCATCTAGATATCATGATCTCAAGCTTAGCTGCAAAGATCCAAATGTTGTTTCTTTTAGCTGATTCAGGTCTGAAACGTTGGATATGATTCATCTGGGGAAAAATTATTCTCCACCTGTGTACTTCTACAATTGGAAAGCACATCCTCTGGGCCCAGGGGTATTCCATAGAAGGCCAATCCTCTGCCTGTAGCTCCGGAAACCCACACGGACATGCCAGTCAAGTCCTGGCTGCTCCACTTTGCATCCAGCTTGATGCTTATGTCCTGGGAGAGCAATGGAGAGTTGCCCAAGACCTTGGGCCCATGAATCCATGTGAGAGATCCAGAAGAATGTCCTGGCTCCTCAGTTCAAATAGACTCACCTCTGCCCATTGCAGCTTCATGAGAAGAATTGGCAGGAGGAAGATTTCTTTCTCTCTCTCTGTCTCATTCTGACTTTCAAGTAGAAATAAATACATCTTTTTTAAAAGAGAAAAATAAAACGCATTGTAATGCTCCCAACTTCCAGTGGTAAGAGCACAAGCACAGGACAGGCATTCTGCTTCCACAAAGGGAAAAGAAAGAAGTGAGCAGCCCTAAGAAAATCTGAAGGCCAACTAGGTAGATTCCATTAAATCATACATCCTGGCAGTTGTCCTCCATGGCTCAGGCTCCTTGCTCTTCATCTCAGGCCCCCACCCTCAGAGTCCTGCTCTTGAATCGGGACAGTTAGCGATTGAGTGGTTTTACCAGCTGGTGCAAATTGCAAGTCCATCTTCCTCCTTTTCATCCGTTCTTTTCCCTTTGGTCCAAACTGGCAGTGTTGCTATTGATGCATTATGCTCAAAACCCTTGGGGATCTCTTTTGTGTTTCACAGATTTACAGTGCTATACAGAAGTTCTTACAACATGTCTTTCCTGGATTATCCCATCTGTATTCCTGACCTGTGGTACAATGGCTGGCAGGATCCATGTGTTATGTGTCTAAACACTTAATTACTGTTAAGTGGTTGTCTTACTGTATTATTTGCCTTGTCTCTAGGGCTCATTTCTTGACAGTGAGTCTCTTAGTTTTAATGTAGCTTAGTAGAGTTCCTTTAGTGGATGTCTAGGGTAGGGGTGTGTTCTGGGACTGGTCAGTGCTCAAGTGTGGGATCCCAGTGGTACCAGAGTGACACCCAGTTTGGGCATGGTGGGTCACCTTTTTGTCTGCACAGGGGAAGCAGTAGTCATCATGGTCGCTATAAACACAATCTCCTCTCAACTCTTTCAGGGTGGTTGACACCCAAGTTTATGCCATGAGCCTCTAACTCCCACCCATGCCAGTACACATACCACAGAATTTATCTGTACGGTTCTCTTTGTGCTCTGAGACCCATTTACACACTCTATCATGTAGTCCAGAATTCCAAAGTTTTTGCATGCAGTACTCTCACATCACAGGGTGCTGAGACTCCCCTTGGGCCTAGGAGTCTGCCCCAGCCATGGAGAGCAGGCTGTTTCCTACACTAGCCACCTTTGAGTTTTCTGACTTGTCTCTTTACATCTCAGGCTTGTGTGTAGGCTTCCTAGTTCCTGGTGAATACATGGCTCTCTGCCTATCCACTAATCTAGTCTCTAAGTCAGTGGGGAACACAGGACCCATTTTCTTGATGGAACCAGCAAGATGCATTTGCCATATATGTTTAAGCAAATCTCCTGTGGAGATCTTGTGTCACATTTAAGCAAGTGTGCACTGAAGTCATCCCATTTCTGTGTTTCCCACTCCCAGTGTGGAGGACTCTGCTGGCTGTTCCAGGTCCCCTCCAAGAGGGCACCTTCTTCCTGCTGATCTGCTTCTTCTCTCTCCTGGGCTCCTTCTTAAATAGTTTGTTGTGATGAATGACCGTGGTGTGTTTTCTTGGAAGTCTGGGCTTCGCCTTAGCACAACCAGGACACTAAGCCTCAGCAGCATGTAGGAGAGAGGATTGCACGCAGGCTGTCAAAGTTACTGACCATGACTTGCCAGCTGTGAACCACTTGATATCTTCATAACCATCAGCAATTCTGTAATCATTAGCCCCCTGGTATCCGTTACACAATGCTCTGCTCTCAGTTCCTGGAGCCTTGATGATATCACAGCGTGACTTCCATTCCCCTGTTTTCGATCTATCCAGGAATACCCACCATGTTCCCCTCATTCACCCTGCCTTAGGGTCCACATGGGGCTTAAACTCCCATAGTTCTCAGCCATGGAGATACTTGGAAGGGATTTGCATGGCAGGGGTAAAAGAAACTGAGTCATGGAGGGATGGGATGCTTTCACCTGCTGGCCACCCCTCTCAAGACCAGGTAATAACAACTTCCTCCATTTCTGCTTCCTTCCTGCTTCTCATGCCATCCTCTGGCGGGCAGATGGTGTCAGCTAGGCTTATTTCCCACATCAACTTCCTCAAGTGACTCTTTCCTTAGGCATGTAGTCATTCAGAAGATATTTGGAGGAAGCTGAAGAGCATACTGTTTGCCCTTCTATACACACTTTCTCCAAATGTGCAGCAGAAATGAGCTGGTTTAGGCTGAAGGCAATACTGGAAGCCAGGAAATCCGGTAAGTGATTGCATCTTCACAGCTACACCAAATGCCCACCTCCAGGAACCATCATTTTCACTATTAATTCTTTACTAGGCAGAATGTGAAAGGCTCCAGATGAGGTGCTGATGCAGAGTCCAGCCCCAGGGGCCTGGATGTCTAGTTGTGGCTATGATGCTCCTGTAGGCTGCTGTGAGGGTCTGTTTACGCTGGGCAATGGAGCTATGCTTGGGGTTGCAAAGCAAGGACTGTGGCCCACAGTTTGGACAAAGGAGGCCTGTGGGCTCTGAGCACCCAGCTTCACGTCCTGTTTACATGCAAACAGGAGACAGTGTTCCCAGCCCTTGTTTTTACTAATTTCCGTTTCCTGTCCTGAGCGGCAGTGCTGGTCTGTGCTCCTCTCTGCCCCAGCAAGGGCAATCTTGTCTGAGACCTGGCACTGTCCACATCCTGACCCCTCTGATGGCTTGGCCTGTGTTGAGGCACTGTGGTGCTAGGAGTTCTGTCTGCACACTTCAAGCAGATGTGGGCTGTGATGGCCTGCTTGGCCATGGGATGAGCTGACATGGTGGTGCGATCAGCAGCTGCCATTCTTCCTAGAGGGTCCCTCAAATGCAGGGCACGGGACCCCCTTCACCCACAGATACTGTCAGGCAGTAGCTTCTCCCTGTCCCATGCAGCATCCTGGCCTGTACCTGCTCACACCTGGCAAAGGTGTCTGTGCAATTCTGGGCTGCGCTGTAAGGCTCTCCTCTCTCCTGAGCCATTCCCAGTATTCTCAGTAAGGTGTCCTTTGGGTGGGGGAAGGTCAGAGAATCACCAACACAGTGACTTTCAGAGTTTCATTGCACTGGAACCACCTCTAGCTCCTTGTATTGCCATGGACCTGGAAGAGTCACCAGGTGGTCATTTTAAGCCATCATCATGAAAGTGGACTTTGCCATCTTGGCTGTTTCCCAGTGATGAGAAGAGTGTGGACATCATATATCCAAGCTTGGTGTTGGATCTATTCTTCATGAGGTGCCATTGGAGAAAGGAGCTTTTCCTTGGCGCTTTTCCTGTGCAGCCAGCCAGGCACAGGCGGTGATCATTCTCGTTGTCTCTGCTGTGCTTTACATGTTGAAGGTATGAAGCCGTTGTGAGGTCACTCCGTCCCATGCTGGGTGCATATCTGAAGTTGGATCAACTATTTGTTCTGATAAGAAATCGCCCTTGGAGCAAGGAGGTTTGGGGATGAAAGGGGAGAGGAGGAGCTAAGCTTACCTCCCTGTTCTCCCTTACTGCAAGGCCTGATTGGATCCTTGCTGCCCTGGTATGGTGCAGAGTCAAGGCCATGCCCTGTTCAGGATTGCTGAAAGCCTGGTTTGCTGCTCTAGGCATTTTGTATCCAAATGCAAGGGAAGTGGGAAGCTGCAATGTCGAGTCATCTGAGAAGCAACCAGTTCTGCTGGGACATGACCAGAGATGGAGGTGGAGGGCTGGGCCCTGTGTTCCAAGTTCTTGTTATTTTACAATCAGTATCCCCCAACAGTCACAATAGAAAATTATAAGGATCCCAAATTCAACTATTATTGTAGCTCAGATACTTGCTGTTAGATACTTGGCTGTTAGATGTTTGGATTTCATCAGCTGTGACTGTTGTCTGAGGATGTGACCGTGTTAAGATCACTTCTCTGTTAGGAAGCACTCTTGAGCATTTGTGTCTCTTCCTTTCTGTCAGTGCTCAAAGCGCTCAGGGAAACGGATTCCACTCTGTGGTCCTTGTTGTCCTCAGTGGTGCCTTCGTGACCACATTCAGTCCTCATCTGTGCACTTGAGCACTTTGAATCACAGGTTGTAACTGGTGGGGCAGGTCCCTGGAGAATATCCCTCTGACTTGTCTCTGGCGCTGTAACGATTGGCAAGGTCAGATGAGGTTGCTCCTCTGCCACTCACTCTTGCCCTTGAACTCCTCTTCTCATAAACTCTAGTCTCTGGGGCTCAGGGTCTGGGTGGTGAGGCAGGGTGGAGGGAAGCTCTGCTGAAGAAATAGGGAAGTTGTTTCATGGCCTGTCACTCTCAGAACAGATTGGACCATCAGTGGGAGACAGCGGGGGAGTTTCTGTTTTTAAAACTATATTCAAACAAGACACATGCATTTCTAGCTTTCTCCCCCCCCCCAATTTTTGCAATTGTGGTTAAGTACTTAAAATATGAAATTGATCATCATGAACATTTTTAAGTGTGTAGTTCAATGGTCTTAAGTAAATTCACAATGTGCAGCCGAACCCACCATGGTCTTCAGAACTCTTCATCCTGTAAACCTGTGTCCACAAAGCAGCAACTCTACTTCTGCCACATCCAGCCCTTGGCAGTCACGTTTGCACTGTCTTCATCTGGTAATGTTGACTGCAGGAAGAACCTCATGTAAGAGGAATCTTACAACATTGGTGTTTTGAGATTGCTTTAAAGTTTCCTTCCAAATCTGAGCATATATGCACTATATTTTGTTTATTCATTTATTGATGAGTGGTTGTCCCACATTTTTGCCATTGTGGAGAATGATTCTGTGAAGGTAAATGTACTAATCTCTCAGCAAGAACCTGCTTTAAATTCTTTTGTGTAGGCACCTGGAGGTGGGATTAATGGACCATGTGATAACTCTTTCTAATTTTGTGAAGAATCACCATTCTGTTTTGTATATTGGCTACAGTAGTTTATGTATATTGAAGATTTATTTGAAAGAATGACAGAAGGAGATGGAGACAGTGTGGAAGAAAGAAGAAGGGGAGGGGAGGGGAGGGGAGGGAGGAGAGGAGAGGGAGGAGAGGAGAGGAATCTTTCATCTACTGGTTCATTCCTCAATTGCATGTAACTCCAAAATTTGGGGTCCGGCTGAAACCAGAAGCTAGGAACTTAATCTTGGTTTCCCACATGAATTGCAGGGCCCTAAATACTTAGGCCATGCTCCATTGCCTTCCAGTATGTGTTTGAAAGAAGTTGGATTGGAAGTGTAGCAGTTGAGACTTGAACCAGCACTCTGACATGGGTTGCCAATGTTGTATGCGACAGTTTAACCTACTGGGCCACAATGCTAATTCCAGATACATTTCTAAATGTCTACCAGCTGTGAATAAGGGCCCATTTTCTCTGTATCCTCACCAGTGTTTGCTATTTTATTTCTCTTTTATTTAAATAGTAGCTAATTAAGTGGTGCTTGCTTGGCATTTGGATTGCATCCTCCAAATTCGTGTTTCTGAGCATCTTCTCATGTAGTTGTTGAGCATTTGGGTGTCTCTGCAGAAATGTCTATTCAAGTTTAAAAGTTTTTGATCATTTTGAGAAATTTCTGGTTGTTGTAATTGAGTCTTTTTGAGAACTGTATAAATTCTGAATGTTGATTCCTTCTCAGAGATAAAGTTTTAAAATATTCTCTCATTTTGTTAATGCAAGGCTTCTTATTCTGTTGATATAGTCTCTTTTATTAAGGATTTGTTTATGTATTTGAAAGTCAGAGTTAGCTCCCATCTACTGGTTCACTCCCCAGATGGCCATAATTTTCACAGCTAAGCCAGGTTGAAGATAGAACGCAGAATTTTCTGTCAAGTCTACTGTATAAGTAGCCAGGACCTAAGCATGTGGTTTTTATTTATATTTCCTTGATAGCTAGGGGACCTGAACATTTTTTCATGTCTATTTGACTGTTCTTTTCAAAAATATCTGTTTATTTTCTTTGTCCATTTCTTCACAGGATTGCTTGATTTGGTGTCATTTCTGAAACTCTTGTAAATCCTGGGTATTAGCACTCTGTTGTGTAGTGTGCAAAGATTTTCTCTCATTCTGTTGGTTGCTTCTTTGCTTTGTTGAGATTTCCCTTTGCTATTTAGAAGCTTTTTAGCTTGATGTGGTCCGATTTGTTTATTTTGGCTGTGACTTCCTGTGCTTTTGATGGCTTTTCTTAAAGACTTTATCAATGCCTGTATCTTGCAGAGCACTTCCTATGTTTTCTGCTAATAGTTGGATGGTTTCTAGGTGCAGATTTAGGCCCTTGACCCATTCAGAGCTGATTTTTGTATAAAGTAAGAGGTGGGGTTTTTGTTTCTTACTTCTGAGGCTGATATCCAGTTGTCCCAAGAGCATTCATTGAGGAGACCAACCTGTTTCCCTGGACAATTTTTAGTTTTCTAGTCAAAGATTAGTTGGCTGTACATGTGGGGGCTGTCTTCTGATGCTCCCGTTCTGTTCTATTGAAGTTCTTCGCTGTTTCTGTGCTAGTTTCAGACTGTTTTGATGACCCCTACCCTGTAGTGTGTCTTGAGGTCTAGAATTGTGACCCTGACAGCTTGATTTATATAGTTCAAGATCACGTTGTCTATTTGTGGCCTCTTGTGTTTCCAGGTGAATTTTCCTATCATTTTTTTTCTATTTCTTAGATGAATGTTGTTGGTATGTTTCACTGGGATTGCATTGAATCTATGCATTACATTTGGTCATATGGACATGTTCATGATGTTGATACTGATCCAGATGGTAAATTTTCTCCATCTTTTAATATCTTCTTCTATTTCTTTTATAGTGCTTTGCAATTTTTCACATGGAAGTTTTCCACACCTTTGGTTAGGTTTACCCAAGGTATTTAAGATGCTTCTCGACTACTTAAAGGAGACTTTATTTACAAGTTATTTTACAGCCATGGAGTTGTTTGTGAATATAACTTGAGGGCCGTCAAGCTATATTCATTAATTTTGTAACCTGGTAGCCTAGTAAACTCTGAGTTCCAATAACTTTTCATTGAGTCTTTTGATTCTCCTATGTATAGAATCATGTTGTCTGTGATCAGGGATAACTTTAATTCCTCATTTATTATTTGAATTAATTTAATTTCTTCTAGAATAAGCTAACATTATGTTGAATAGTAGTGGTGAAAGTAGATATCCTTATCTAGTTCCAGATCTTAGTGGAAAAGCTTCCAGGTTTTTTTTTTTAGCATAATGTTGGTCTTTTTTTTTTTTTTTTAACATTGCTCTGCTTATGCTTTA